TAGGATAGGTGTTATATGGTCTCTCCTGGTTTTACCTGAGACCAGCTTGGCTGCCATATTCTGTACCAATTGAAGTTTCCAAACTAGGCACAAGGGTAGCCCCATGTAGAGTGTATTGCAGAAATTGAGACAAAAAGTTACCAGCGCATGTACCACGGTTTCAAGGTCCCTAACCTCCAGGAAAGGGAGAAGTTGGCATATCAGATGAAGCTGATAGCAGGTGCTCCAGACCACCACATTCATCTGATTTGTCATCTGAAGTGGTGGATCTAGGAGCACCCCCAGACTGTGAACACAGTCCTTTGAGGAGAGTGTGACCCCATCTAGGGTCGGATTTGGGGCCATTACCATTAGCACCTCTGTTTTGTCTGGATTCAATTACAATCTGTTTTTCCTCATCGATTCCATTACCGCTTTAAGACATTCATTGAGTGGGAAGACACCATCTGAAGTCAGACATGGAGAAATATATCTGGGTGTCATCAGCGTATTGATAACACCCTGCCCCATGTTCCTGGATGATCTCTCACAGCGGCTTCATATATATGTTAAATAGCATCAGGAACAGGATGGCACCCTGAGGGATGCCACAATTAAGCTCCTTTTTTGCTGAGCAACTGTCCCCAATCATCACCCTTTGGAATCTGCCAGAGAGAAAGGAATGGAACCATTGCAATGCAGTGCCTCCAATTCCTAACCTTCTCAGGTGATCTAGAAGGATGACATGATCTATATCAAAAGCTGCTGAGAGGTCCAGTAGCACCAGCAGGGTCACACTACCCCTGTCGATGCCCAGACGAAGGTCATAAGCCAAGGCAACCAAGGCAGTCTCCACTCCATATCCTATCGAAAAGCCAGTTTGAAATGGATCCAGATAATCGGTTTCTTCCAAACCAGCTTGGAGCTGAAGAGCAACAACCCTAACCCTAACCCTAATCCTTAAATTCTAATTTTCCCAACTTTCTTATTCTTTCTCTAGCATTAAAATTGTATGGATTACTCATATCTTTTGACAACCTTTGCATTTTCACACCAGGGCCATCACATGATACAGTTAAAGCTATAACTAGGTCCTTGAATTACTTTTGCAAGGAGGACCTTTAGGCTAGCTTTTCCTCCTGTATTGTACAGCCAGGACTCTATCCACACAATGAATTGATGCTCCTTTGCCCGGGGTGCTCCTTTGCTATTGATTTTCATCCTTGTCACCATTTATTTATTACACTTTTCCTATTCTCCCATGGACATCAAGCCAATATATATTGGGTTCCTGGGAGGTCTCCTCCTCTAGAAACTAGCCAGATGCAGATATATGTTTCTTTAATGGTTTAAGTTTGAGGGGGGAAAGCTGGAGAGAGCAAACAGGGACATGGAAAACTATCTATTTTGATTTATTTTGCATTCAGTGTCTCATATTTAAGATATTTTCAATGAGGAATATGTAATTTGCAATTTTTGGCAAATTCTTTTCAAATGTTATTAGCAGTAGCAGCCTTAACAAGCCTACACTCAGTAGCTGCTGGTTTGCTATATCTCTGAAAGTTTAAGAATAGCATGTTTTCACTCCATTTCCTTTTTGTTTGTTTTAGCTACATCCTCTCTTTTCCTAGTTCATGTACAAATGGTTTGAGTTTGATCATCTTCCATCTTGTAGTCTGCTGTTCCCTTTCTCCCCTCCATGTTTGAAGAGCATGTGTTACACAGTCTCTCACCCGGAGATGTTATGAAAGCTTTAGTATTTGGAAGTAAACCTACTTCATATGCTTTTTTCAAAGAGGACTAAGGGGGTTTGCAGACTGCCAGAAATAGTGCAAACTGAGTCCACTTTTAGGGTTAGGGTTAGTGCTAGGGAATCATGGGAATTGCTTTTTTTCTAAGGACATTATCACATGGGGAGTTGCAGGGAGAAAGTGGAAATAAACGGGATGAGCGGAAGACTTTAATTTATGGGATTTGTCCCGTTCCGCCTCGTCTGATAACTAAATTTGAATTTAAAAGGAGGTTAATTCAAACAAAAACCTGATCTTTTCAAATCCTCAAAAATCCCGAAAATGAAAAGATCAAGTTTTTGTTCGAATTAACCCCCTTTTAAATTCGAATTTAGTTATCAGACAAGGTGGAACAGGACAAATCCTGTAAATTAAAGACTTCTGCTCATGCCCATTTATTTCCACTTTCTTCCCACGACTCTCCATGTGATAATGTCCTAAGACATTGAGCCTTCTCTGTCAGAGAGCTCTGGTGCCACAATAAATACAGTTCCCATAATTCCCTAACCCTAACCCTAAAAGTGGACTAAATTTGCACTATTTCTGGCAGTCTGCAACCCCCCTAAGCTTGCTTAATTTCTCTGATGAGTTCTGTGGGGGGTAGGAGGTAGAGGTTGCTGCTCACCTTCTTTTGGTAAATAACAATTACAGTATATATATATATTCATGTAATAGTTGAAGAATTTGACAAAAATCAACCTTAAAAAACTGGGTTGTCTTATACATGAGTCAATTCTGGAATAGGAATCCAGTGCAAAGGCAGTGATAAGAGGCAGAGGTGAGAAACTCCTTTGGGTGTGGCATTTCCACCCCATTCCCACTCCTTTGCCTAAACCAAAGAACAAAAGACAGCCCTTCTTCCTTCGCCATCTACATTTTTGGCTGGCATGGCATTCAGTGGCATTGTGCGAGAGCCCAAATAGAGACTGTGGAGGCCATTTTTAATAGGGGTGTACTATATAAGCTCCACGAGCCCTGCAGAGAGGCTTATACACTATATTCAGCTTCCATGCCAAGAGTGACTTCTTGCTTCTGCCTCTTGTCACTGCCTTCATGCTGGATCCCTAATAGAGGCAGGTTGCTTTCTTTGCTCTTCTCTTACCTCTACTTCTTCTTTTTTTTTTTTTTTGATGCATTCTCATTCTTTTCTCTCATTTATATTCCTTTCCTTATCTGCATTTATATAGATGTTGATATTTTAAGATCAGCATTGCCAACAGCACACACATACACCAATTTTAACCCCCCCCCCCCATGAACAGATCCTCTTCTTCTCTGTCCTTCGTAAGTATGCTGCCTCTATGTATTTTTTTAAATAAGAGGAAAAGATTTGTTTGTCATGTGCCTTTTGTTTTACTTTTGGCTTATCCACAGTAAATTTTGTGGATTTTGCCCCCCAAAACTGTCCTCAACTTATAAGTTGACTTATAAATGAGTATAAACAGTACTCTGTGAAATACAATTTTATCTCTCACAATCTCTACTCAATAGAAATGAAAACTGCCCCATATGTACTACCTAAATTGAAGAGGGACTGCTATTTCTAATACAGAGGTGACCATGTTACATCTGTCTGCAATACATGTGTTAAAGTCAGAGCTTCTCAAAAAAAGGAGGGAACAGTAGCCCTAAATCAACCCTAAAATAGTTGCATACATGGGGATTCCAATACAGATTTTTAAAAGTAAAATAGTCAGGACTCAGAGCAATGAGTGTATGAACCTGTCACACTTTCTCTGATATTCACTTGTTTTTAAAAAGAAAAACAAGAAACTCAAGTGCATCCCAGCCCAAATATGACAAAATTTCCAAATTTGGTTAATTTTTTACTAGTAGGACCTGAAAAAGTGAAACAAGAATTTCACCCATTGCTAAAGACAAAGTAGACAGGTACATATAACTTAACCTGAATCTTCATGGAGTTTGGCAAACAATATAGGCATGTATATTCCCCTAAACATACAGGAGTGTGCTTTTTATTTTGAGCTATCCAAATCAAGAAATGCCTTGAGGATCCTGCGGTTAATTCTCAATTAATACCATCTGAATTTACTTCAAAGGAAAACAGGTTGCTATTGCAGCCCTGGCCATCTTTTGAATAATCCTTATACTTTTTGTTCACTTTGGTCTGTTTTTAGTATAACATTACTGGAAAGCATGGGTTAAAGTTTACAGGATATATATTTACTGAGCTTCTCCTCCACTCAGCTTTATATTTTCTTTCTGGTATCCTCAAAGAGATTCCCAACAATAAAATTCCTTGAGCCAGCAGACAACTTTTGTTTATTTAAGATCTGTCTCCTTGACCCTGAATTTGCTATTGGAATGATTTACTTCAACTAGAAAGCAATGCTTTCTCATAAGTCCATAGAAAAACATTAACAATTGACTACTAAGGTCAACAAATTTCCCAGATCTTTATCTAGAGTATCTGCTGCCTAATTGAAATTACTTTTTTCTCTAAATAAAATATCCATTAGAACAGGGAGACTGATTTCCAAATAATCCTCCAGGATGGTGGTCTTCTTATATGTGACACTCTCATTTTTGTTTTGAAGTTCTCAAGATTCATCCTTGTAGGATGTTTAGGATCTTCCTAATTTCTTCTTAGATAAATAAATAAAGTCTATTAGGGTTTTAGATTTTTTTCCCTTGTTACTTCTTAAATTAAAATAGTGTTCATAATTGCTTTTCTCCAGACATATTAATTTATGTACCAAATTCAGATTTAGTTCTTTGGTGTATTAGAGTTCTGTTTTGGAAATGTTGATTTCATAGCTTTCCATTGGGGAAAAGAGAGGGAGCAGCCACAATGCAGTCATGCAGTCTAGTGTGTGAGAAAAAGATTCAGCTATCCTCCACCAAAAAAACTATGTCTGGAGTCTACAGTTTTGGTGCATCCATTCCAGGTGACAGGCAGGGGTTCAAATTCTCCAGTTTTTATCAGTTCACCTCCAGGCAATAGACAAGGCTGCAAGTAGTTAAATTCAGAAAGGAGTCTTCTAGCTGGCTGACCTCTACATACCTTGGATAGTTTTCTTTTTATAAAAAGTCTGGACTAAAACCCAGAGCAGATACACCACCCCACTGACATGAAAGCTACCTCTGGGTCAGAGGACAGGTTCTGGAAACAAAAAACCTGCAGTTTTTAGATCTCTCAAGTGGCCCCCAGTTGTTTCCACAGGTCCACTGGGGCAATATGCAACTTTTTTTTTTTTAAGTATCTTGATAGCCAATGTGGCATAGTGGTTTGAGTGCTAGACTGCAACTCTGGACACCAGAGTTTGATTCCCAGCTGAGCCATGAAATTCCCTGGGTGATCTTGGGCAAGTCATGTGCTCTCAGCCTCAGGGGAAGGCAATGGCAAATCTCTGAACAAATCATGCCAAGAAAACCCCATGGTTATTTTGCCTTAGGGTCCTCATAAGTCAGAAACTTCTTAAAGGAATACAACAACAATAGCAATCCATTGGTTAAGCATCTAACAAAAGCTGCCAAATGTGGTAAGTGTGAAAGGTGGCCAATAAGCAATGATATAATAATTTATGAAATAATAAATAGACATGCCATGATAGGTTATGATATGTTCTATTTTTGAAATCTGTTTTCATTTGTAATATATAATGGCATCAGTAGCAAACCTTTCATGGAGAATGGAAAATCTCCAGAAAAAGTAGAAAATCTCTCTTTCAAATAAATATTATGTTATTTTTTTTGGAAGAGAGAGAGCATTAGCATATTACCAATAAACATTAAATTTGATTAATGCATTGGCAAAGTGCACTTGTTAATTTCTCTCATTTGTCATCTCTCTCGGTATGTGTGCCTTCAAGTTGCCTGTTGACCTATAGTGACCCTACGAATTTCAAAGGGTTTTCTTAGGCAAGGAATACTCAGAGATGGTTTTGCCAGCTCCTTTCTCTGAGATACAGCCTGCAGCACTTGGTATTCTCATCCAAGTACTAACCAGGGCTGATCTTGTTTAGCTTCCAACATCAGACAGGATCTGGTGCCTCTTATGCACTGGAAAATCTAAATTTTCATGTGTGAGTAATTATGCTTTTTCTAAAATCTGTTTTTTATTTAACTGTGGGGACATTTAAACAACCATTGTTCCAAAAATGTGCTGTTGCCATTTTTAGTTAGTTTTTTTGGGGGGGAGGGGGTTAAAAAGGGAATTTAAGAACACTGGAAAGACTGTGTATTCATAAGCAAGCAAACACACATATAATTTCCAACTGTCTGGGTGCAGAAAAGAGAATATTTGTGCCAAACATTTTGTGTTTGGTAGAATAATATTAAACAGGGTGACTAAACACTGGTGTCGAATAGTCATTTATATGCAACATAACTACCCACATTCAGTCTGAATAAGCTTCTGTTCAACACCATTGATGCACTCATCAAACTTTTTAACAATTGAGTTTCTCGAACAACTCCTAAATGTGGCCAAGAGGGAAAAGAATGTCGAATGGTGTTGTGGTGCAGGGCTATTTCAATGGGTTTTTTAGGACAGTGGATTTTTAAAACCACAGTTCCCTTTCCCACCAATAGCAATGGTGGCCCTTTTAGCTACTCCAGCTCAAGGGCTGGCACAGCTAATAAATCCAGATGAAATCTGTCTAAAAAAGAACTTTTAAAGCTATCTGAAGTGATGAAATGGTAGGCTTTTCATCCCAATGTGTCAGGGACCAGCAACATTTTTGTGCCCTTTGGCAACAAATGTTTCTTCTCTGGAAACTCACTACATATCAAATGTATATGTCTGGTGGACCAGAACCAGTCTATGAATTACCACTTGAGGTCACACTGGTCTAGAGCACAATGAGGCAATTGTAGTGTAGTTGAAACCCAATTTTCATCTTCGAAGTCCCTAGCAGGCTGCACTCATGCAAAAAACCAAAACTGGATATGACATACTGGTTTTGTTTTCAGCAGGTTTCAAACTTTGGAATTTAAAGTTTAGAGTTTGGAGGTGAGGGAAGACTCAGCATTGTGTTTTGCAGTACCGTGACATCTTTTTGAAAGTTTTTGGACTGAAAACAACCCACAATTTTGTTTTAAAAAATATGGGAAGGACTGAGTCTTGTTGAGGTGACCAGCAGGGGAAACAAACCTAGAAAAAAGGGTTCAAGGGCCACATGGAGCCCATGAGCTACTGTTTCCCCAACCCTGGTGTAGAGGAAAGGAGAAGGTTTGAATCCAGTGGGTCCAAGTGGGAATAATAGGTGGACATTGTTTTTAGACTAGGAATGGCCTAAATGCTTCCATACTCTCCAACTGTCCCAATTTGATAGAGACAGTCCTGATTAAGCTCCCTCTGTCCCACTTTAGCTGCTTTCAAAATGTGTCAGTTTCTCTTTCTGCCTCCCAATTCCCCCTTTATCTTCAGCTTACTTCCATTGATACAAACTGAGTTCCAAGTGCAAAAATACTTTATGGTCAGTTAACTCAGCAGGGAAAAGGAGAGGCAGAGACAGTGTCTTGCCCTTCCCAGTAAGCTCAGCCAAAGCAAACTGCTGCATCCTCTCCTAGCCTCTGTATTCTTCATCGTTAATAAATTTTGACAAATGAACCACACTCTACATTCCCAGTTTTCATCTGTGAAATATTGGAGAATATGTGCTCCCCATATTGGGGACATGGATGGGGGCTTGAAGAGCTAGTGATCTAGGAGATTTATGTCCTACCTCTTCCCACACATTCCCGTATATCAAACATGTTTCTCCCCTTGCCTCATAAAGCCAGAATTTTGCAATCTCTGGGAGGGACCTGGACAGACACTTTGAGATCACGTCTCTCCCTTTGAGTATGAAACATTGTCTAAGACTTCAGAGAGATTTCTGCCCTAAGATCTATGGGATTATGGGATTGTGCACATCATTGATCTAAAAAAAGATGTGCAAAATATGTTTTTTCCTTGTTAGAAAATCAAACAAAAACTTTCCCCCAGAAGGGGTGGCTACATTTTATACTGTATTATATCAGATTGACATTCAGCCTTCTACCTTTGTACTTCTCCACAGTTGAAAAGCCTGTCATAAAATAGTTTCACTGCCTTTGATCATAAGAATTCTTGACTAATAACATAACCTTATTTGGCCATTGTCCTGGGGATAAACTTTCTATGTATTTGTCCTCCTAGAAAGAACAAGAGGTTATAAACAGATATTACAACTTAGTGTACTAATAATTG